CAGTTGACTTTCTCATTGGTGGAAAAAGCTGCTTTCTCACAGTCGGAAGGATTAGATTTCTTAGAGATGCTCTGAGCTAATGACATAAATGAGAGGGTCTGACTCAGCAGCTTCCAAGGGAGTCAATGAGGTTAAGAAGTCCATTCAGGTCATGACCTGGCCGGGTGAGGACAGTCTAGTCGACTGCCACCCATTATAGATCTTAGTATGATCCTCCTTGCAGTGCGAACGAAATGCAGTCCTCTTTAAGCAGAAAGCCCTGAAGATGGACAATCTTCATAGTCCATGAAAAATCCCCAGCCTCAGTCCCATGGCCTCATACAGGAGCATTTTAGTGAAACAAGTCACCAGCTTCTACACTGAGGTCCAGTATGCCTTTTTCAAGTGCAAGATTGGTCTTCACTCCAGAGTTCACTGTTCATATCACTTCTGGCTTGGGTTTTAAGGGCAGGTCTCTGCCTCTCCTGGAATGGCAGCATCATAGCAGCGGAAGCACAAAGAACCAGGCCAGCATTGGCAGGCAAGGCACGGGAATACTGCTGCCAGATGTTCTCTGAGTGCGCATTACTGCAAAGACCGCATTAGTGTGGTTGGTGGGCAATTCTACGTTGCAAATCATTCCTTCACAGCAAGATCTACACTCCTGTTGCAAAAGAAAGAAGAGGGGGGATAGAGTGAATAATAGGAGGAAGAGGGAAGGAATAAAACAAAAACCAAAAGAATGGTTTCCTTAGTGCAATCTAAAGACAGAAAATGACAGTTGGTTATCCAGTGTGTGTGTCATTCAGGCCCTGGAGTGTCCTTCCCCCCTCCCAATGGACCCAGGAGGAAAGATCATCTTGAAAATCTTTTCATCTAAACTGATATATGTGCATCAAATGCAAGCATAAGCAAGGCAAAGGAGAAGGGAAATTGAATACAATTGCTTAATGGAGTCAACAAATCTTCTAAAAGTTTGTAAGGAAAACGCTGAAACAAAAATGGAAGCTAGGAACCCTTAGGAGTAGTCATTGATTTTCTTTCTCAGTACTCCTTGTTAGAGGATAATAATGACTCTCTATTGTCTATGCTAACACCTGATTCCTATCATTATAGCTGCAATAGCTTGGTAATTATGGCTGCTGAGTGGTGAAAAAGGCCTGGTCTCTAACAGCTCAAGGTGTCTTTGGGGAATGTTTTCCGGAATGCCAATAGTGCCTGGTGCAATGCTTCAACTCCAAGACCCAACCATTCGTAGAAGATTCCAGGGTGGCTAAGTGAGATAAAGGCATCGACTACGAGGATCTCTATCAGCGGTTCTCACCCTGGCTGCACATCGAGGTTACTTTAGGGAACTTTAAGATGAGATTCTGATGCCCAGGACCTCCTCTCCCCAAAGTTCCACTTCAGCTGGTCTGGGATGCCCATCTATCACACCAACATGATGTCAGAACCATTTCTTTCTTTAGGGATAAATCAGATTCAAAAACCTCATGAAATGAACATACTTTCAAGTAACTTTTTCTCAAACATTTCTAAATTCTAGGCATATAAAAGAATAAAATACTCATTTAGAATACTAGAATGGGAAAGTTAAAGAGATTAATGGGTCTAAAATGTACCTCCAGTTCATAATTTTAAATTGAGGTTAAACTTTCAGACTCTTACTTCTTCCCCTAAGCAGAAGTTGCAGGTATGACAAGGTTTCCTTAGTAAAAATTGTCACCATTTTCCTCTTTCCATCATCCAGTCTCCTGATGCAGTGTTCTCAATGGTTTCTGGCCTCCACAAAACAGGTGAGCTGGGCTCTGTAGTGTTTGTCATTTTCTCATGGAAGGTTTGTTCTTGTTTGTTTTTGTTTGTTTGTTTGTTTGTTTTTGGAGAGGTTTTTGCTATGTCATTGATTTTCTTTCTCAGTACTCCTTGTTAGAGGATAATAATGACTCTCTATTGTCTATGCTAACACCTGATTCCTATCATTATAGCTGCAATAGCTTGGTAATTATGGCTGCTGAGTGGTGAAAAAGGCCTGGTCTCTAACAGCTCAAGGTGTCTTTGGGGAATGTTTTCCGGAATGCCAATAGTGCCTGGTGCAATGCTTCAACTCCAAGACCCAACCATTCGTAGAAGATTCCAGGGTGGCTAAGTGAGATAAAGGCATCGACTACGAGGATCTCTATCAGCGGTTCTCACCCTGGCTGCACATCGAGGTTACTTTAGGGAACTTTAAGATGAGATTCTGATGCCCAGGACCTCCTCTCCCCAAAGTTCCACTTCAGCTGGTCTGGGATGCCCATCTATCACACCAACATGATGTCAGAACCATTTCTTTCTTTAGGGATAAATCAGATTCAAAAACCTCATGAAATGAACATACTTTCAAGTAACTTTTTCTCAAACATTTCTAAATTCTAGGCATATAAAAGAATAAAATACTCATTTAGAATACTAGAATGGGAAAGTTAAAGAGATTAATGGGTCTAAAATGTACCTCCAGTTCATAATTTTAAATTGAGGTTAAACTTTCAGACTCTTACTTCTTCCCCTAAGCAGAAGTTGCAGGTATGACAAGGTTTCCTTAGTAAAAATTGTCACCATTTTCCTCTTTCCATCATCCAGTCTCCTGATGCAGTGTTCTCAATGGTTTCTGGCCTCCACAAAACAGGTGAGCTGGGCTCTGTAGTGTTTGTCATTTTCTCATGGAAGGTTTGTTCTTGTTTGTTTTTGTTTGTTTGTTTGTTTGTTTGTTTTTGGAGAGGTTTTTGCTATAGGATACGTGCGCTTGCCAGAAAGATTGAGAGAGACAGAGAGAGAGAAAGAGAGAAATCACCCACCCCCCCGGGGTGATGGTCACACTGCAATCCCTTCTCCTCCATTCTCTGCTCAGGATCTTGGGCATGCACACACACGTGCCCGGTGTGAGTTTAAGCCACCAGGACCGGGATGCGAACTGCAGTCGACTACATAGGAGTCCAGCAACATAGCCACTACACTGACTGCTGGTCCCAGGTTTGTTCTTGTTCTAAAGAACTGGCTTTACACGAAGTCTGAGGTCTAGATAGCTCTGGAGGCTGGGCATGGTCATTTGCGTGTGTATGTCTGTTTTGTAAACGGCCTGAGGTGCGTGCACTCAACAGAGGTAGAAAGCACTCCTCAGGGGGCCTGGTTATGCTGCAGAGTCTTCTCCATTTCTCCATCCTGTCAGAACTGGGGGTACATGTGCACAAACACCCAGTGTGTTTTCCACACTACCAGGGTCAGGATTCAAACCATATGGCTGGTCATGTAGGATCCAGCTCCCTTAACCACCAGGCTACCTTGCTACCATCTCACTAGTTTTTCATAACACTATTTCTTGTCAGAGGAAAGAAAGTCTTTAACTCCACTTTGGTCTTCATTTTATCACTATAATGGAGTCTTTCCTTAAAATATAAATAAGTTCCCTTCATCTTCCCTCACTAGCATGAATCCTACACAGTAACTATGCACACACACACTCCGTACCGTATGTTTGGAGTCTCGACTGTGGTGGCATCCAACAAAGTGACACTCACTTCTGGAGGCACACTTCTTGGTGATGGACGTACTTCTTCCACGGCTGGTGAAGTGATGAACTGTCAAGCAGTACTGGGTATCTAGGCATAAGAGAACAGAGACATCAGTACTGGGCATCTAGGGAAGAGAACAGAGATACCAGTACTGTGCATCAAGGGGAGAGAACAGAGACACCAGTACTGTGCATCAAGGGGAGAGAACAGAGACACCAGTACTGTGCATCTAGGGGAGAGGACAGAGATACCAGTACTGTGCACCTAGGGAAGAGAACAGAGACACCAGTACTGTGCATCTAGGGGAGAGAACAGAGACACCAGTACTGTGCATCTAGGGGAGAGAACAGAGACGCCAGTACTGTGCATCTAGGGGAGAGAACAGAGACGCCAGTACTGTGCATCTAGGGGAGAGAACAGAGACGCCAGTACTGTGCATCTAGGGGAGAGAACAGAGACACCAATACTGTGCATCTAGGGGAGAGGACAGAGACGCCAGTACTGTGCATCTAGGGGAGAGAACAGAGACGCCAGTACTGTGCATCTAGGGGAGAGAACAGAGACGCCAGTACTGTGCATCTAGGGGAGAGAACAGAGACACCAGTACTGTGCATCAAGGGGAGAGGACAATATGTGGGAAATATGGTGTAAAATATGTGACCTTTGCACTAAAACCCTGGGTCTGCTCACCTCATACAAAGGTGTTCCTGTCTCTGATAATCTCTCTCCCCCTCTGAAGGCAAACTCTATAGAACTCTACAATGAAATAAACGTTCTAAAATGCAATGAGTCAAAATACTTGCTGCTGCATTGTGCAACCTGTGTCATATGTTTAAATTACTTCTTCAATAAGAGAGAAAAAGACAGATGGGGATGCCCCACAGGGTCTTTAAGCTGCCACCCACACTGCTGACCTGGATGATGGCCATGCAGGTGCACACCCTGTGTGTATAGGGAGGTCCCAGGCACTGAACGGGGGACCTTCCCATGTAGGTCCGGTTGTGTTATTGCTGTACCACTCTCTGGCCCCGTCATTTGTTCCTTAAGTAGTAAAAGGCCATATGATGAACTTATGTGAAATCAGGTGCCTCACATTATACCTCAAAATTATCTTCTTTACTCATCTAGTTCTTATTCATTCTAATCCTTCCAGTGTTTTTGACTTTTCCTCAAAGTATTTCTATTTCTCCTCCTCTTTAATGAACTTGTACATTCTGTTTCCTACTCATCCCCTGCTCTGAAGAGGTAGCTCATTTCTACAGAAAGTTATCCTTATAGTTTTAACCACTCACATTTTATCATTTAGGGTTCTTTCAAGAGAGTGATTACATTCGCTAACCTTGGACATCCCACTTTGGTTCTGTATCTCTTCTATAGGTTTCCCAGGCCAATAAAATGCTTCCTAGTTTATTTACCAGGGACTTCTCAATGTCACAGAATAGGGAACAAAAAAAACTGGACTGAAGTTAAGACCACGCTTAAGGAACTGCTACTGTCACAAGTGAGCAAGTCACATTAGACTCTTTGAGCTTTTGGTTTTATCTTTGGTTTTTGTAAAATTATGAGACTAAGTACCCTGGCATTTTGAGGGTTGTTATAAACTTTAAATAATATTAACAGTAGAAAATACATATTGAGTGCATATCATCATCCATGTGCTCTTTAACTTGGGCTCACTTGTTCAATCCTCAACATAAGCTTGAAGGGAAGTCATGCTGACACACTTATTTTACAGACAAAGACACCAAGGTGCAGCCTCTTACCAGTGGTCATATACGAAGAAAGTCATAGAAGGTAGGATTCTGACACAGCCGGTTTCCTAGGGTTGCTGCTTTTAACTAGAAAACTATTCTGCCTCCTTATATATTAAATATTGATTTAGTGCTGTAGTGTACTGTACACGACTAGGTAAATTCTGGATTCAGAAGGAAAGATCACCAGTAAATGTTTTGGAAAAGGCCTTTTAATTTATACTTCAAACAAAGAACTGAAAAGTGGTAGCTATATGTGTTCATAAAGATTGTCACACATGCTAAAGAAGCCATAAAAAGTCAGCACAAAAGCCAGGATAAATAAAACAAGAAATACCATTCTTGCCATATCCTGTTACTTAGAGAACCTCCTTTAACAACACCTACAGACCACAGAAGAGAAGTGACAAGGGGAAAAGGAAACCTGAGATGACAAAGAACAATAGCTACAGGCCTGTTTGCCCCATGAAATGGTTCACTATCACTTCCCTAAGTAATGGCAAAATGAAAACCAAGAAATGACACCATCAGTTATCATTCCAGATGGTTAGAATCGTTGGAACTTGGCTGGCACATAGTCAAGAAGGTACCATCATCATGCTGTGCTGGAATGTAGCGTCATCCATGTTGATCCCGTTCAGAGTCAGCCTTTCAGGATACCCATGGCAGAGCCGACTCTGTTCCACCTTTCCCATCTCTCACAGTTCCTGGTGGTGGGAAACTACAACTTCCTCTTTTCTGTTTGCCCCTATTTCAACAAAGATGAAATTCTAAAACCCAGAAATAGCCATGCACGTGCCTTGCATGCATGCTAAAGTGGCTTTGGCTAATCAATGACAGATTAGAGTGTTATACACAGGCTTAGTAAGAACAGTATTTTGGGACAATTCTAAAAAATAGCCTGATGGGGCCAGCAGGTGGAATGGAGGTGAAGATGGTGGATCCCATATGGTCAACTTCACAGCTTTAAGTCCTGGACTCACAGCTTAAAATAATCCAGGTGCATGTGTGCGCATGCCCCAAACCCTGAGAGGATATTGAAGGATAAGAAATTGTGGAAGAGCCATCTCCCCTGAGGGGTGATTTCTCTCTCTCTCTCTCTCTCTCGTGAGTGCACATGCCCTATAGCAAACTTAAAACAAAAGAGAAAGAAATAAAGAAAGAGAAAGGAAGAAAGAAAGAAAGAAAGAAAGAAAGAAAGAAAGAAAGAAAGAAAGAAAGAAAGAAAGAAAGAAAGAAAGAAAGAAAGAAAAAGAGAGAAAGAAGAAAGAAATGGAGGGAGGGAGGGAGGAAGGAAGGAAGAAAGGAAAAGAAAGAAAGGTTCAAGAGGATAAACCTAAGGAGTGGGTAGCAATGCCCCAATTTACTCATGTTCTAACCTTTGCCACCCAGTTTTTAAAGGAATTGAAAGCAAATTATGAAAGAATGATACACATCCTCTGAAATCAGTCAGTAAGGAGAGATCTCAATCAACCCTGGAAACTTTGAAATAACTAAGATAAGTTTCTATGGAAAATGCAAAAACAAATCTCCATATGTACAAAATCTCACATGCACTTATAAGCGCACACATGATTTAAGGGTGATCACTCTACAGAAAAGTGAAAGAACCTCAAGAAAAAATATTTTAATAATTATTACTGAAAAGAAATAATAAAAACTAATGTCCATAAAGATGTCACAGTCATTTAAGCTACTTGATGGCATAAGATTTCCAGGCCCAGTTGAGGTCTCCAATGTGTAGTATCAGGGGGCTTAAAAAGTTGATGGGGAAAAAAAAAGGAATAACAAAAGAGTATGTTTTGATCCAAAAAAAAAAAAAAAAAAACCTTTAAAATTCCTGTTTACTTTTTTCATAATATGCATTTTCCCTGAGCTTTTCAAAGGTACCCCTTATTTTTTGTTGGCTTCCCATGTTGACTTTATCTGTTGGGTCACTGGAAAAGTCATGATGCATTTTTGCATAGAAAAACAAAAACTACATTGTGACTTTTCTGATACAGCTAATAGAAGAGTCCAGGCTCTTCCACTGAAATAAATTATGTGATTTAAATATTTTGAAAACATTCAAGATAATCATAGGCTACAATTAGTAATCTCTAATTCTGGAAGAGTTTGGGCCTCATACATCTGAGAACCTAAAAACAACTTTTTTTCAGGTAAGCCACTTGAGTTCCCCATGTATTCTTGTTAACAGTCCCTTATCTGAAGCATAGTTTACAAAATTATTCTCCCATTCTGGGGGCTGTCAATTCACACTAATTACTGTGTCTTCTGCCATGCAGAAACTTCTTACTTTGATGTAATCCCACTTGTCTATTTTTGGGATTATTGACTGTGGTTAGGTGGTCTTATTTAAGAAGTCGTTGATGGGACCAGAGGTTGGCATAATGACTATGTTGCCGGACTCCCATGTAGTTGACCGCAGTTCAAGTCCTAGACTCAGTAGCTTAAATTCACACCAGGCGTGTGTGCATGCGTGCCCAAGATCCTGAGAGGAGAATGGAGGAGAAGGGATTACGCCATTCCCCTGGGGGGTGATTTCTTGCTTTCTATCTCTCGCTGTCTCTCTGGTGAGCGCACATGCCCTATAGCAAAAACCTCTCAAAAAAAAAAAGAAAGAAAGAAAGAAAGAAAGAAAGAAAGAAAGAAAGAAAGAAAGAAAAGAAGAAGTCTTTGCCTACCCCAATATCTACCAGAGTTTCCCCAGTGTTTTCCAGCCTGAAAACCAGTACACCCTAAAATCTAAATAGCTTGATCTTCTCATAGCTCTAAGTAGAGGTTGTCAGTTCCAAACCATCCATCAGCATTCTCTGTGTGCTTTACCTCCAAGTCTAATGTAATAAATCACTCAACTTCCCACCTCTGTTCCTGCCAACCTAGTCCAAGTGTTCACCTTCCACATGCAGACAACCATAGTCCCCACTTGGTGTTGCCTTTTATTTTTGTGCCCAACCATCCTTTCTCCACATGACAGCCAGAGAATATTTTAGGGTATAACTAGTAACTACTCCCTAGCTTAAAACTACCAATGGTCTTCCCAGTATAATTTGCAATGAAATCCAAACTCATCAGGAAAAGAAGATCCTCCATATCCTGGTCCTTGCCTCCCTCTCAGATACCTTCTCCATCTCCCACTGAGCCTCAGCAGTCAGTCTTCTTCCTGTTCATTGCAGTTAACCAGGCTTGCTTTTTCCTCTTGAACCTTTGCATTTGCTATTCTTCCTACAGATCTCTTCCTACAGATCTCCACATGGCTGGCTTGTTTCAGTCATTTAGGTCTTAGCTGGCATGTTTATTTCTCAAAGATGTCCCTAACTTCCTAATCAAAGGCATCATTTTGTTAATAAAGATGTATTACATGCCTAAAATGGCTAGGGACTGGATTAGGCAATGGGATATATCAGTGAACTGAACAAACTAAATAAGATACTTAAGTGTTTGTTGAATTAATGAGTGTCTCAAGCATCATTGTATCTTGAGAGTATGGAAAGCTTCCTTTGTTTTAAGCCAGTAAGTGACTTTTCTAGAGATGTCATAAAGTATTTCTGAAATTTTTAGAATACCCAAGTCAGCCTGTGATCTGTCTATTCTCCCTGGTAAATGCCACTTAGGAAATTCTTCCTCAGTGTACACCACTGCAGACTGAGGCTGTGCCTCCAGCTTCTAAGTTCTTTCAGTATAGTCTGATGTCTGGATAGTACTTTGAAAGAAAGCTCTGATGGCTACAGAACATCACCAGTCTGTCAATATGCTAACCATTATGGAAGACATCTTTGCTCTCACACATCTGGAGAGACCGAAAGGAAGTGAGATCACTAAAGAGTCTTCCAAACTCAGCGCACTTACTTTCTGGACACCACTTGTCTTCTGCCCATCGATTGCAGTTGTAATTATCCCCTGCATTTTCACAGGTAAAACACTTGAAACTGTTTGGAAATGGTGTAGCTTTAAAGAAAAATGCAAAGTGAAATAGTAAGGTTAAAAAAGGTCAAATATTTCAAACATATTAAATAGGGCACAACATTAACAACTTTTATTAGATTATAAACAACATACAAACCATCATCCTTAACGTTTGTTTGGGAGCTGACTTTACCCATCAGTCTGTAAGTCTTTAAATTCTTCTATGAATTTATACTATGCAGTAATAAAAATGATTCCATAAGCCACTTTGAAAGCTCCATAGTATCAGTCTATTATCATCTATAATCTGGGAATGAGTAAGGGTGGAGAGGGTAGACAAGGGTGGTAGTGGTATTAGAGCCAATAATTTTATATGTGCATCACCCCTGGAAAGAACTGCAGTCAGATGAACCTGAGTTTGAATTCTGTCTGCCACAACCGCCCCTACTAATGAGTTATGTGGCTTTTAACTTCTAAGATATAGTATTAATACTTATATTAATAAAAATAAAGATACCCAGGACTTGAGGAGGTATAGGTAAAGATTAAATGAGAGGTTGCAAGAAAAATACCTAGTGGAGTCCCTGATACTTCAGATCATGGTGGTTTCCATCCATATGCACTTCCATTTAACTTCCAACAAATAATCTCATTCGATATAGACTAATTATCACAACATTAGACCTGCCCAAGAATGCAACATTGACTGTAAGGATAAAAGTGATTCTTGAGTTATTAGCAGTCTGAGATAAGAGTAACTAGTATGTTCTTTTTATCTTCCTTCTTTATTTTTGCCTTGCATTTTGTTATTATAACTGGCAACAAGAAAAAAATAAAATAATGTGACATTTGTATATTTATCTATGCAAAAAATTTAATTCTCCCATTTCTGGAGAATGAAACAAAGATTAAGGTGAATCCCAAATTATTCTAGTAACAGACCAGAAGTTAGGGTGAAAATTTAAGAGCAGTGGGTATTTCACATATGGGGAGAATATGTATCCCTGTATAAAAGAGAAACAAAATATTGTAAAGCCAAAGTTCAGAAGACATGACATTAAGTCTTGCAAATACATTTTAGTCTTGCTTATGAATAAAATGTATTAGGGAAATAAATGAATAATGACATCTATTCTCTATTTAATCCGTATAGCTCTAAAAATACTAATAGTCAATGCTGGCAGTGAATGGTTCAAGTGTACATTGGTATAACCTTTTTCATTTAGTAATTCTAATTCCAGGAAATCTATTCTAAGGTTGTTAGCCAATTGAAGAGTAAAACGCATTTTAAAAGATTTTCAATAAGCCATTATTTAATATTTAGCATGCTTGTAATTTTTTTCTGATATATAGTATGGAGAAATGATTACATAAACTACAGAACTACAGATCAACAATATGACTTCTTTAAATGCAAAGGGCATTAAAAATTTTTCAAACACATGAATATTCAAAATACAGTATGGGGGGGGAGGACTAATGTTGAACCAGCTGGCAGCATGGTGGTTAAGGCAGTTAGATCCCACATGGCTAACTGAGCAGTTCAAGTCCTGGACCTGGTGGCTTGAAAAACATGCCAGGTGCATGTGCATGCATGGCCAAAATCCTGAAAGCACGAAGAATACAGAAGAGATTGCAGCATGACCAACCCCATGGAGGTGCTTTCTCACTTTCCCTCTCTCTCTTTCTTTTGAGCAAGCACATATGCCCTCTGGCAAGTTTAAAAAACAAAAACAAAAACTAATGCAAAACTTACAACATGGGAAGAAAATACTCAAAGTGTAAGGAAGAGAGTCTCTGAATCTTGGGCTTATGAACAAATTTTACTTTGTTCTATACATTTCTTGTCAATTTGGAATTTTCTGTAATGAACAGATATTATTTTTCTCTTTTTAAAAAGTGTATTGATTTTTTCCAGGAACAAAAGACATAACGCCCTGACACAGGGGCTTTACACCATGATCTACCAGTAAGCCAGGATCACAGGAATGTATAGGGAAGCCCGGGATGGGAACTTGGGACCTTCGCATATGGGTCCAGGATCACAAAATGCTGTGTTACTGCTGTGCCACCATTTGCACCATCTTTCTTTTTTGAAAGTAATTTTTTTCTCATCACAAATTTTATCAGACTTAAAAAAATTGAAATTTGTGGATAATTTAGGATCTGTGAAAACTATGCCATGCCTCTCAACTACCAACATAAAACCGTTACTGATTTAGCAATACATAACAGATGATAGCTCAGGGTACTATGTGTACTACACATGTGTACATAAGTGTTGTATATATGTGTATGCACACACACTCATACAGACATGATCAAGTGTCCTAAACCATCAAGAAACATGAAGAGCAGTAATAATATAGACCTCATTTAGGAAGAGTATGAGACAGCAGTATCAGGCGCTCTTTTGAAAATAAGAGTTTGGGGGGGAAGGATATTCTGCATCTCCCCCTCTTGACTATTGAATCTCTGGGGAGTGACTTGGGGATATGTAGTTTCAAAGGCTTTCATCATGATTTTGGTATTTTCACAGGTGTGGCAACAGGTATCCACACATATAACAAATCATTATTTATGAGAACCTCTCTCCAATAAAGTATATTAGATAAGTTTACTTGTCTGAAGAAAAAAGAGTGATGATATATGTATAGAAACACATATATACACAAATATGTGTATAAAATATATATCATTTGTTAAGATATAGTATACTGTAGATACTATACACTAATATTTGTCTATTTTTAAATGATTAGTAGGAACCTTGGCTAATATTGATTCTGTATAATAGTGATGAAAATCCAGGTAATATTGCCTTCCAACTTTCAAACATAGCAATCTGTTTTAAAAGTTGTTACCAGCCAGTTGAAAAAGTTAGTATAGCATTTCTTCAGAAACTCCCTACTGTCGATGTCAATGGAAGAAATCAACAGAGAACACTGACTTTCCTCTGCTAAGCTATCATTAGGGACAATGTTCCAAAGAGCTTTTCAAGCAAAAACCCTTTTAAGACTATAGCAGGAAACCAAACCATTTTAATGAAATGGAGAAACTATGTCACCATACCCTTTCCCACAGAAGTAATGGAGACTTTGGGACCAGCAGTTGGTGTAATGGCTATGTCGCTGGACTCCCATGTAGTCAACCGTGATTCGAGTCCCAAACCCAGTGACTTAAACTCACACTGGGTGTGTGTGCATGTGTACCCAAGATCCCAAGAGGAGAATGGAGGAGAAGGGATTGTGGTGTGGCATCCCCCTGGGGGCGTGCCTTCTCACTTTCTGTCTCTCTGTCTCTCTCTGTCTTTCTGGAAAGTACATGCGCCCTATAGCAAAAACCTCTCCAAAAAAAAGAGAAAAAAAAAAGAAGTAATGAAGACTCTCCATTTTGTTCTAAGTATAAACTGAATGTTCCAGAAAAAGACATGGTTACAGTAGATGGAAATGGAACCTTCCAGTGGACACCCTGGCCCCACAGTGATGAACAAGGATGGCCAGCACTACTTACGGTCGAGAGGAGGCCTCACGTTATAGAAGTTGATGTTCTTGGCTAACGCCCAGTGCTCTGAGAAGATCAAGATCTGGACAACAGCTACAGATAGAATATGGCAGAAGGGCAGCATTCTGATGCTGTGACCTGCACAGTCCAAACTCATAAATCTACAATGAAAAGCAGAAGGTCTGTTTATATTTTACACATGAAAGAGAGCCTGATTAATCAGATTTTCAGTGTTGTGTAGGCCCAGTATCTGTGAATGAACTGCAGTCTTTTTAATTGAATTAAAGTTAAGCAATCACTGCCTTCTACTGGCCAGGCCTCTGCACTAGCAGCTGAGCTTAGCAGGACACCAGATGGCCTTTTGGGTTTGGGAAGACATGGCTGCACCCCATTCCCTCGATGCCTAACACCAACTCGTTGGCTTCATGGGGAGTCACCTGATCTATTAAGTCTACAGGTGGTTCTGAGACATGATCAGCTGAAGTTCCTGGACCACCTATCTGCCAAATCCATTCTTTGAGTAAACACTTACATGTTGATCATTTTGCAACTCTTTCAAAATCTGGAAGCAACAAGAAAACTGGGAGTGCCAGGAAGGACAGTGGTAAAAGGACAGTCTAAGAAATCGAGATGGTCTTGCAGTACAGCAGTTTAGTCCAATGTAAAGGAAGCTAGATCCCACACAGCCGACCCCAGTTCGAATCCTCACTCTGGTTGTTTGAAAACCACATTGGGTGCATGCGCATGTGTTCTCAGGATCTCGATGGAATGGAAGAGCTGAGGATAAAGAACTGCAGCCTGGCCAGGCTCCACTGCAGGGAGGTGTGGGGGTGGGGGAAGGGACTTCCTCCCTCTCTGGCAAACACATGCACTCTCTGGCAATTAAAAAAAAAAAAAAATCTCTGGAGTCAGCAGGTGTCATAGTGATTAAAGCACTGGCCTCCCAAGTGGCCAAGTGTGGTTTGAGTCTCAGCCCCAGTGGCTTAAAACTCAAGCTGGGCATGTGTGCATGTGTGCCCAAAATCCAGAGAAGAAAATGGAGGAGAAGGGACTGCAGCATGGCCATCTCCTTTGGTGAGGGGGTGGGGGTGTGTGGGATTTCTCACTTTCTGCCTGTCTGTCTCCTCAGTGAGCACACACGCCCTACAGGAAAAACATCTCTTAAAAAAAAAAAATCTCTACTAGGTTCCAGAGCACACAGACAGTGAAAAGGGAAACAAGAGTTACTTTGAAATGCCAGCTCCAGTTGTTCCTATCACATCGGGTTCAAAGGAGAAGCTGCACGGTTCTAGAGGAAAGAGATCCCAAGTTGTTTGGAAAGCTGAAAAGCATGTAACGTCAGTCCTGGTGTACAAATACAACTTCTCGCATAGACTTTTAGTAGGCAGGATGCAACCCAATGAAACACAGACATGCACATAGCACCCACTAAAAGGCAGGACACTGTAAGTCCAGTAGGTTCTACCTGCCAGAAGTAGGCCTGACAGAATACAGTCTATGATAGCACCACTGGCAGGTTCTCCTTGGCAAGGGGTGAGCAGCAGAACAAGAGTGGTATGGAAATTGGAGACCGAAGGCCTTCAGGTGCTGGCTCTGCTCTTTATTAGCTGCCTGACCTTGAGCAAGTCCTCTAAACTCTATTAACCCCAACTTCCCCATCTGTAAAGTGGCTTAATAATACCCACTCTGCCCACACATTTAATAATCGTGAGCATCAAATACAGGCTTAATAAGATCACATCGGATTGCATATGTAAAGGCACTTGTAATCAAAGTCCTGGGAAAGTGCTGGAATACTAGAGTTTGATAATATTGGATGAACTCATTTTTTTTCTTGCCAAATCAACTAGTCTCTGTTCAAAATTTTCTCAAAGCAAAGAGGTTTGATCTCTCCTTATATGAGCATAATCCTTCACATGGACATTTTCGTGTAAAACCAGGGTTATAATGTATTCATTCTACAGATTTCACCTCCTCTGCTTGCATTGTGAGTCCATGGTTTTGTTTGTGTGGCTAACAATGCATACATGTGGGGATGGAACTGAATTTCAGGCAAAATGTACCGCCAATATCATATCATCCCCATAACGGACTTTTGCCACTGACAAAGCTAAGTCACTGAGTAGGTAGACAGTGTAAAAAACAATCCAAACTTGTTAAGTTTCAAATGAAAAGTAGTGCTCAACTTTATCCATTGCTCAGAACGTAATGAACTCGGTACATAATTCCAACTCAGCAGGTAATGAAACCTAGCAATATATAAAAATGTATCTAATTCTTTCTTGGCTCATTTTAGAAACAGATTGATTGCACAGTTATTGGACTTCTAACTTCTATTTTTATGTTTTTCTAAAAAGAGGTTTTTGCCTTAGGGCACGTGCATTCACTGGAGAGATGGAGAAACAGAGCCAGTGAGAGGGAAAGTGAGAAGGCACCCCCATGGGGGATGGCCACACCGCAAACCCTTCTCCTCCATTCTCCTCCCAGGATCTTGGGCACACACGCACATGCACCTGGTATGATTTTCAAGTCACCAGGTCCTGGACTTGAACCACGGTCAGCCATGTGGGAGTTCAGCAATGTAACCACTATGCCATCTGCTGGCCCACTTTTTCTTAAGAAACAGACATTTAATCAACTATATTATTCCTTACAGCCTAGTGATTATACTCAGAAATTCTGCTTCTCCTAATCATTTCTCTGAGCTCGTCTGTGTTGCAGTCATTAAGAGTCCGTAGCCAAGTAAGGGATATCTTTTTCCTTTTTTTTTTTTTTTTTTTTTTTTTTTTTTTTTTTTGCGACAGGGCATATGCACTCACCAGAGAAACAGAGAGAGACAGAGAGACAGAAAGTGAGAAATCACCCTCCAGAGGGGATAACCACGCCACAATCCCTTCTCCTCCATTCTCCTCCCAAGATCTTGGGCACGCACATACATGAACCCAGTATGAGTTTAAGCCACCGGGTCCAGGACTTGAACCACGGTCGACTACATGGGAGTTCAGCAACATAGCCATTTCGCTAACTGCTGGTCCCAGGGATATCCCTTCTTTATACCAAAGAAGACTCTGTAAGTAGGGGGAAGTAATCCCTCTTTCACAAGCTTCAGAATGTGTATTAACAGCAATCCACAGAAAGGGAGAGGATTCTAAAGGTTATAGGTTTAAATGTCATATTGCAATCAAATCCCTGTTCACCACTAAGCAACTACCGGGCCTTAGGCCAGCCACTGAAACTCTCCTCACCTCAGTTTCACCATCTGTAGGACAGACAATACTTACCTCACACCTTTGAAGTGAGGACTGAGGACACAGTGTATACGAAGCCCCGGGCCACGTGCTGAGCAAAGGTCGTAGCTGTATTTATCGAGCACTTCCTATTCACCTTAAAGAGCACTGGCTCAGATGCCTGCTCCCAAGCCCATCTTTGTGAATCGTGGTGCGAGTTCCTTAGCTTCCCTGTACCACACGTTTTGTGTCTATAAAATGGGGATAATAATACACCTACTTCATAGGGTCGCAGGAATTAAACTAGTGCTTATGAAGCCCTTGCACTAATTAGCCATGTGCGCGAAATCTTGCTGTGTATTAAGTAAGCATTTACTATTATGAGCAAATGTTTGGAATCACGAGTCAAAATGCCTGGTTTTCTCATGTAATCTCAATGTGAGGTGAACACCCCAAACGCACATTCAGCGTGTCCCATTGGACATCTAGTATGTATCAGACCTATCACTGACTTCACAGCAAGGTCTTTTCTCTTATGCAAATTGCATTTTAGAGGGAGAAGATAGGCAATGCACATGGAAATAACGTCAGTTCAATTAGTCACAAGCTTCAGGAAGGAAATACAGTAAGTTAACACATTAATAAACAGGAAGGGCTACTTTACATACATGGTGGCTCCCAGAACATCTGTCTGAGAAGGTAACATTGAAACACATGAAGTAAACGCTGGGAAGGAACCAGCCAAGCAAAGGATTGAGGGAACAGCAGCCAAAGTCCTAAGATGTAAGATCTTCAATAAGCAGCCAGTAGCACTGAGTGTGCAGAGGGGCAGTGGACGAAGTAGGGAGCTGGTGGGTGGCCTCAACAGGCACTGCCAGGCCAGGATGAGGATTCGGGATCTAGTAGCACCCAGAAATTGATTCAAACTATCTCACTGTTTGTTTTAGAGAACTGTTTTATTTAACTTTAGTTAGTTAGTTAGTTTGTTCATTTTTTGACTAAAGAGGGACAGAGTGTGTGTGTGTGTGTGTGTGTGTGTGTGAGAGAGAGAGAGAGAGAGAAGTAAAATGAGACAGCAAGCCGCCAGATCCGGCACTCGAACCATGGTTGGCTATGTGGCAGTCTGGCGCCTTAACCACCACACCACCTACCGGCCCCAAAGACTATCTCATTTTTAAAAATACCAAAAACCTTTTGTAAAGTAGCTAGTCCTGAATTCCTAGCTTTGTTTTCAGAAATATAGAGGCGTTTTGAGGAATATAGGGGACATATAGAGGAATGAGGAATCCAGATGCTCCACAAAGGTTTCTCTGAACGAATAAACGAATGGAGGGCAACTTAAAAGCAACGGAATGAACACCAAACCCAAGGACTAGACTTCTAGTCTAGTTGGTTGCTCTACCCTCATAACAGCACCACAGGGACTACAGAATCATTACCACTGTGCAATTAAGAAAACTGAGGCTCAGAGGCAAAATGTACGAGGATCCTAGCATACTGCTCACGCTGTAGGCTCCCTCTAACGATTTCCACAGGGAGCTCACTCTAGCCTACTAACCTTGAGAACTAGCACAAAGTAGACAGATTATTGTGTCCATGAAGCCAAAACGTATTTTCATTTCCATTTTTAACTAAAACGGCATAGCCTTACACTATCAAAATTCTCCAAAACTACAAAGATTTTACCTGTCAGCTAAGGAAAGTACTAAATAAAAATGTTTTATTTCCAGAATATGCTTTAATCTATTTCCGTATATTGCTTTTCTCTAAGCACCTGTATATATTCTTTTCTTCTGTGAATAGATTTGTGTTAACATGACTGCTTTATTTTTCACGACCAAAGACATTACGGTAATGACATAAAGTAAATGACTAACAGTAGTATCTGAGAGTTGTTTTACATTTAGAATCATTTCACGGACACTCTCAACTAA